TTAAACTGAGACAGTGGGATTTGAGTTCTCAAAGCACCAGCGTCCTTTTGAACTCAGAAACTTTTAGAAATTAAATGCATCATCAGGTAAGGAAGAACCAGCATTCTCCTGCAGAATGTGAAACAAACTTGTATGGTAAATTTCCCACAATTCTAGAGACCAGGACTATCGCTCCGGGGAGCCTGGACACTGCAAGCAGAGACAACTTACTTGGATATATGCCTTCTTAAAAGCAAAAGCAAGTAAGGAAATTCCTGGTCAATTCCTTGGCAATCAATTTATTGATATCAGCCTATTATCAACACAGTTACTTCAAAGGGAATACACCTAGCAGTTATGTAGCCACCCACTGCCAATCTTTACAGCCTGAAAGTACCAAACGGCAAGATGGTACTTCACCAGCCCTAACAGTGCCCTCAGCACACTTCTGCTGACAGAAAGAGACTGCTCAGCAGTACCACGGACTTCCTCCTGCTTCCACCTGATAAGGAAACACACTACACACAGAGCATTAATCTCCTTCACCATATGACACAAAGCATTAATCACAACAGCTTGCTTCAACCACAATAGACTACCACTCCTGATAGTTAACCTATGTAGATGTTAAGCCTGTGTATCTGCTGATTTTGAAAAACCTCAATCACTCCCAGCAATAAATACACCTAAAAATATGTCAGTGACAAGCAAGAACACGGGCAGCCTTTTTACTCACAATTCTGCAAGCTAAGGAACTTAACCAGCAACCACATTGGAGTTTGATTTTATGAGGTACCTGAGGAACCATGTTGTCAAAGTTTAAAATGTAATGGACAGCTCTGATTTACTGTATTCAGAATACTATAGTTGAGCAGCAACAGGTACAACAAAAGGGCTATATTGGTGATCAGAGAAAGTATGACATGTCAAAAGTGTTTGACTAATGCTGTGAAAGTTAAGAGACAATACAGACAGCTTGGTAGAAATTAATTTATTTAGCAATGAGAGAATAATTAAAAGATAATATTGTGCAGTGGATGTGCACAGATAATGAGCTCAGACAGGAAATGAGAAAGAACAATCATCAGACGAGTGAAGGTCTAGAACTGTCCAAAGAGGGTTTTGGGAGCAAGGAGACAGGTGTTGGACAAAGGCACACAGTTTCCATTTTACAGATTTGGATTTAAGTTTCCAAGGAAAATCCCTAATTTTATTTAAAAGGACTTCTTAATGCATAAAATTTTATTTGCCAAGAAGCATGTGCATCACACTCTCAGAAGTTGCCTAGGTACCTGTGTTCATGGTTCTGGCCAAGAACTGTCTGGAAATTTCACTTCAGCAACATTGAGAATTGTCCTTCCAGGCAGCAGAAAGCCTGAGTGACAATCCCTTTTACAGAACACCATATTGTATGGTTAAACCACTTTTGTAAATCTGCAGTTACATTTTGGTGACGTTTTATAGACATGAAGCTTTTTTTTGTCAATTATTCTATAAGTGTAGGATTGAGTGCACACCTACACTTCATTTAATATACAGTGAATTGCATTCTCAACTCAGAGCAGATGTACAGAAAATATTGTGTCCCCATGTCATTCCTGATTAGCCAATTCCTGTCATTTTAACACAGTAAGCTTGGGATTTGCACTGAAGCATGTGCCAATTGCTGCAGCTCAGCTGCCAGACAGGGTGCTATAGGAGGTGGTGTCTTCAGCACAGAGGTGGCTCACAAGCTGTGCAAACTGGATCTCAGTGCACAAGTCTGAAGAAGGAGAAGGCCCCACAATAATTCCACAAAAGGAACTAACTCTCATGACCTGCCTTTCCCTTGTTAAAGTAAGCATCTTCAGTGAGAACTGACTCTTCAGGAGCAATATAAATCACACCCAGGAAGAGAGGCACCTATGGAAAAGCAAGTGCCTGCAGCAAATGAGTGCACCAAGGTAAATAAGGGTAAACTGGAGAAGTCCCACAAAGCCTACTTGGAGAGTGAGGGCAAACACCACCACAGCAGCCTTATTCATGCTTCCTCCTTACTGCTAGTCAGAAGGTGATTTCATTTTGACTTTGGTGTTCTGCTAGCACACCAGTACGCCTCATTCTAATAAATCCTTTATTTGGTTTATATGGAGTGCCAATATTTGGGTAACAAGAATGATCTTTTAGGTAACAGACTTTCCTGTCGCTGATGTGAAATAAGGTAAGCACAGAGGACTATTCTAATATTTGCAGAGATGAGAGAGGAGGTCACAAGGTGTTTTCACTTACTCACACCAGTGTTTCTGCTGACGTCAAAAGACAGTTTGCATAAATATGACAAAGAAGCAGGATTCAGCCCTCCAGCAAAACCTCTGGAAACACTAAATTTGATTGGATTAGAAAAAATAAGAAGCCTTATGAGAAAAATTAGAAGTGTTTTGCCTTGAGAGAACATTGACTGCAGCATTAAGAGCTACAGGTTTCCTTCAGGAAGATGCCAAGGTCAGAAGGCTTACCAGGAGAGGGGCAGGAGTGCCTTCAGTTGCCCTCTAGGCTTTTGGGAAAGATGGCTCTGTGTGGCCTCTGGATCCACAATCTCTGAACCAAACCATTTTTTTCATATTAGACTTCCTAAAATTTGTAAGGTGTAAATGCATTAAAAGCTGGGGTAATTGTTAGGATATGTGGACTGGAATAAATCAGGATGCAGACACAAATCCGATGCTATTTTAAGACTTGTGGTGGTAGCAAAAATCTGCAGAGATGTGAGCAGGAGTTCTCTGACTGTTTTTGGCAGAATGCCCAGTTAAGTCCTGACAACACTTGAGATTTTCAAAAGGGAATTTTCTGTGATTATAGCACGAAATACACTGAGCTGATCTCACATCTTCCTTTGTATACCACTTTATCCAAAACTAGAGGGCTGGACTTAATACCATTATTACATGATAGAATTATCATGTTCTTAGTTTCATTGTCACTGCTTTTTTCCTTTAAATTTTACATGTCAGATGCTGTTAAACAATCATTGTGATAGTGAGGTTTCTGCTGAACTTCACATTGCAGAGCAACTGTTCTATCAATCACATACACCAAAAAAGAAAATACTGAAACCAGCCCCATCCTTCCTAAACTGATCCCAACCAAACACATTTGAAAACACACCACACGATGCCTCACAGACTTGTGCGATCCAAAAAGCAGCTGGAAATGCAATTTCATTTTGAACCAAATTTTGCTTTAGCATGTGCTGTAGGAAAATTGAGCTACTGTTTCAAATCAGAAACTGAGTACAGCTAGAGTGTAAGAAACACTGACCTTTTTTTGCTAGATTGCTGTTGGGTTCATACTTCTCAATCAGCTGTTGAACTTGTTCTTGTTTTAGTGGCGGATAAAGGATTTCATTTAACCGTGGATCACGTTGCTTCAAATTTATAAATTCCATCATCTGATCAACAGTAAGGTATGGTTTGCTCTTGGCACCACTAGAGGAAAATTAAAACAACAGTGAAGTCATTAAAATACATTTCCTTGAGATCTTGGTCAATGTTCTGAAACTTCCCAGGGAAACTGAAACAAGATTCAAACTATCAAACAACAAAATCATTGTTCCACCGTGTCTCTGGACTAACTCATTTTGCCAGGATGTAATTGCAAAGATTCTTCATCAAACATCTAGGAGGAAGATCTTTCAAAATGTTCAGCATTACTGACATCAACGGGAAGACTTAGAGCAATGCTAAAAGCCTTTCATTCCTCTGAATTCCTAGAATTAAGCTATTTTAAAAAGCAAAAGAGAAAATGATGTGGAATTCAATCCTGAGC